TATGCACCCAACTAAACTCCTCTCAGATTTATGAAACAGACTTTGATTGGTTTGAGAAAAATTATAGCCTGTAACAGCATAACTGTAAGGGGTTATGCTTACATAACAACTCAATTACAGAGCTGGGCAGATCCTCTAAATAGAAACAAAAGATATAAAGGACTTATATGAAATCCTAGCACAAATGGGCTTAATAGACATATACAGAACACACCGTCCCAAAGCTAGGGAATATACATTCTTCTCATCAGCTCATGGAACATTCTCCCAAATAGATCATATCCTAGGACACAAATCAAACCTTGACAAAATCAAGAATTGAAATTATACCTTGTATCTTCTCAGACCACAAGGCAATAAAGGTGGAATTCAGCTCCAACATCGCCACACAAAGGCATGGAAAATAAACAACCTTACACTGAATGAGAGTTGGATCAAGGAAGAGATAAAAAAGGAAATCATTAACTTCCTTGAGCATAACAACAATGGAAACACAAGTTACCAAAACCTGTGGGACACTGCAAAAGCACTCCTAAGAGGAAAATTTATTGCATTAGAGGCCTATATCTGAAAACCAGAAAGAGAGCACATCAATAATCTAATGAATCATCTTAAAGAAATGGAAAAGGAAGAGCAATCCAATCCCAAACCTAGCAGAAGAAAAGAAATAACCAAAATTAAATCAGAAATACATGAAATTGAAAATAAAAGATTCATTCAGAAAATTAATGAAACAAAAAGTCTGTTCTTCAAAAAGATAAAATCAATATACCATTGGCCAGGTTAATCAGAAATATAAAAGTAGAATTTTTAATAACCTCACTCAGAAATGAAAAGGGGAAATAACTGATGCCACAGAGATACAAGAGATCCTTTCTGACTACTACCAAAAAACCCTACGCCCAGAAATTTGACAATGTGGATGAAATAGACCAATACATGGAATCTCACCATCTCCCTACACTTAACCAGAAGAAATAGATCTCTTGAATGGACTGATATCAAGCACTGAGATTGCAGAAACAATAAAAATGCTCCCAACAAAAAAAGCCCTGGGCCAGATGGCTTCACACTAGAATTTTATCAAACCTTCAAAGATAGGCTTGTTTCTATTCTACACAACATATTCTAAAACTTTGAGAAGGAGGGAACCTTCCCCAACACTTTCTATGAAGCAAACATCACCTTGATTCCAAAACTAGGAAAGGACCCAACTAAAAAGGAGAACTACAGACCAATTTTACTAATGAATATTGATGCAAAAATACTCAACAAAATCTTAGCTAATAGTTTGCAGCTACACATTAAAAAAATTATATATCATGATCAAGTAGGCTTCATCCAAAGGACGCAAGGCTGGTTTAACATTTGTGAATGCGCAAATGTAACACATTGTATCAATAGAAGCAAAAAACAAAGACCATATGATCCTCTCAATAGAAGCAAAAAAAAAAAAAGCATTTGACAAAATTCAGCATCATTTTCTAACGAGAATACTTAAGAAAATAGGCATAGGTGACATATTTCTTAAGGTGATTGAAGCCATCTGCAGCAAACTCACAGCTAATGTCACATGAATGGAATAAAATGAAAGCTTTTCTGCTTAGAACTGGAACCAGACAAGGATGTCCACTATTGCCACTACTATTCAACATTGTGCTGCATGTTTTAACCAATATAGTCAGGCAAGAGAAGGATATAAAGGGCATCCAAATGAAGGCAGAAGAGGCCAAACTCTCACTCTTTGTTAGTGAAATGATCTTATACTTTAAAAACTCAAGAGACTCAACCACAATGCTCCCGGAAGTGATCAGGAAATATAGTAATGTCTCAGGGTATAAAATCAATGTCCACAAATCAGTAGCCTTTGTATATGCCCAGTTGAGAATCAAATCAAGGACAAAATTCCCTTCACAGTAGCTTCAAAGAAAAGGAAATACTTAGGAATATACTTAGCAAAAGAGGTGAAGGATCTTTTCAAAGAGACTTATGAAACCCTAAGAAAAAAATAGCAGAAGACCTTAACAAATGGAAGAACATACCATGCACTTGGGTGGGAAGAATCAACATTGTCAAAATGTCTATTCTACCCAAAACAATCTATAGATTCAATGCAATCCCCATTAAAATACCAATATCATATTTTGAAGAACCAGAAAAAAATAGTACTTTGTTTTGTATGGAACCAGAAAAAATCCTATATAGACAAGGCAATTCTTAGTAATAAAAACAAAGCCAGAGGGATCATCCTACCAGACTTCAGGCTGTATTACAAGCAAGTTTACAGCAATCAAAACAGCATAGTTTTGGCACTAAAACAGAAACACAGACATATGGAACAGAACAGAAAACCAAGAGATGAAACCAGTCTCTACTTGCCATCTGATCATTGATAAACCAAACAAAAACATACAGTGGGGAAAAGAATCCCTTTTCAACAAATGGTGCTAGGAGAATGGGATAACCACATGTAAAAGACTGAAAGTCAACCTACACCTTTCACCACTTACAAAAATTGACTCAAGATGGATAAAAGATTTAAATCTAAGGCATGAAATTATAAAAATCTTAGAGGAAAGTATGGGGAAAACTCTTGATGATGTTGGACTGGGGAAAGATTTTATGATAAAGACTTCAAGGGCCATTGCAACAATGACAAACATTAACAAAGATTAAGCTGAAAAGCTTCTGCAGAGCTAAGGACACAAGTCAAGCAAAAAGACTACATTCAAAATGAGAAACAATATTTGCAGGATTTGAATTTGACAAAGGGTTGATAAAAGAATCTATAGAGAGCTCAAATTAATCAACAACAAAAAAGCAAATAATCCCATCTACCACTGGGCAAGAGATATGAACAGAACCTTCTCTGATGAAGACATATGGATGGTTAGCAAACATTTAAAGAAAATGGTCATCAACCCTGATTGTCAGAGAAATGCAAGTCAAAACCACCCTGAAATATTACCTAACCCCACTCAGAATAGCCCACATCACAAAGTCTCAAAGCTGCAGATGCTGGCGTGGATGTGGAGAGAAGGGAACGAACACTTACGCTGTTGATGGGAATGCAAACTAATACAACCTTTTTGGAAGGAAATATGGAAAATTCTCAAAGAACTCAAATTAGAGCCCACCTTTTTGGAAGGAAATATGGAGAATCCTCAAAGAACTCAAATTAGACCTCCCATTTGATCCTTCAATCCAGTTACTAGGCATCTACCCAGAAGAAAATAAAATCCTTTTATCATAAGGACATTTGCACTAGACTGTTTATTGTAGCTTAATTTACAATTGCCAAAATGCAGAAACAACCTAAATGCCCATCAACCCACAGATTAACAAGCTATAGAATACTATTCAGCCATTAAAGATTGAGCCTTTACATCATTTGCATTACTCTGGATTGAGTTGGAACACATTCTTTTTAGTAAAGTATCACAAGAATGGAGAAGCAATGTACTCAGTTCTAATTATGAAGCCAGTAGATCATCTAATATATATCTACATAAGAAATAAACTCAAATCAATTCAAGGTAGGGGGTAGGGGAATGAGGGAGCATGAAGAGGGGAGGAGGAAGAGGGATAGGGGTTATGTGTATGGCACATCCCTTGGGGGGGGGGACACTGTTATAAGTGGAACTTTATCTAACAAATGCAAACAGTGTGACCTAATTATTTGTACCTTCAATGAACCTGAAACAGTAAAAAATAAAAATGAAAACTTAATTCAATTCTAGTTGGAGGGAGGAGGAATAAGGGAGGAAGGAGGGGAGAGGAGGGGAGGGGATTGGTGTCCTCCCATTTAATGGGCACGGTGTAGGGGTGTCTGGTACACCTTTTGGGTGTGGGACCTTACTACAAGAGGGACTCTATCTAACAAATTCAAATATTGTGACCTAGTTGCTTGTACTTTCACTTAACCTGAAATAAAAAAGAAATGTATGTGAAAAAACT